GCTTCAGGCACAACTTGGTACGAGACAACCTTAACCCTAAACCCTAAATCCTAACACCCTACACCCGATAAACCCCAAAACCCTATTACCCCAAAGCCCATCACCTAAAGCTCTTCCGGCCTCGAAGACTCGGAAACACAGTGCCGGCTGTCATTTCTGGCTCGGAAGACTCAACCCATGGCCAGAGCCCAATGGCACAGAACGAGGCTACGAGTCTTGAACAGAAGCTTAGGGTTTAGGGCTTAAGAGTTTCGGCGCTCACACTCGGACACTCCAGGCGTTGAAGAGTTAGAGGGTTTGGTGTAGTGATGATGATCCTGATGTTACAAGGTTCTGTGCTTTGCATCCCACAGTGTATTCAAGGTGGTCTGGGGGTTGGGTAGTGTATGGAGTGCAAGAAGAGCCTCTGCTCCGTACAACATTCGGCTAAACGGCTTATCGCTCTCTCTCGTGGCTAGCCAGTAAGTCATTCATTTTTCTCCCAGACATCTCATTCCAACGGTTCTTCACCAGCCAAGATCTCCTTAGGAGATAAATGGCTGCAGCATCAAGAACTAAGTCGAACGACCTTAAGTGCGGTAGGCTTGGTGGCATGGCGCAAAGCCAGAAGGAGCAGCAAGTGGCAGGATGCAACCCTGAAGCTCCGGATTCTAAATTGACATGAAGTCCCATGACTTAAACAGCGGGCCTCCTGTCTACCACTAAGACAAGCCTGACAAGACATGCACACACACACACACACACAGAGTGAGACAAAAGTGGGCAACACCCCATCGCACCAATCATTCTGAGGAACGTACCCTCTTGCCACCGGAGAATGGCACAGGCACTGCGAAGAGTGCGGCTTTCCAAGCCCACTCCAGATTCGGCCTTGGAAGCCGTTAGACCGTTAGAGTCTACAGGGAGGGGATGCTGTCGCTGCTCTGCAGGGGCCCGCCCGTGCAGAAGTGCATTTGGTGCTAGGGTACAGCTGCAGAAGGCGATGATTTGCACATCGCCAAGCCGCTGATTGCATGTCCGCAGTGCACAGCTATCATAGGCTTCTGAAGTCATGAATGGATCCGGCTCTCATGCTAAGCCGTTCAAGATCCAACTGCTGTCCTAGCTGCTCCGATAGCCTGAAGTGAAACATTCAGTTCATGCCCATATGCCAGAACCTCCCGAATCCTGCATCATGCTTCCCGGGAATCTTCTAACTTTCAATAGAACTTCGAAGGTTCTGGCAGAGGCGCTTCTACCCTGCAGCTCTCAAAGGCTACTGGCTCGGTCTTGGGACCTGGCGGCAGTGGGGTTTCAGGCTGAAGCTCCGCATTGCGGCATCCCGCTAGCACTTAGGCCAGTAAGCTCTTCAGCCCCAGATCACAAACCGCCCCTTTCGGCGCCTTCGTCTTGGCCGTTTTTGCAAACGGAAGACGTTCCTGGTCCATCCGCGCCGCCTGTCTGGAACCAGCTGGGAAGTTTCGGCCAGGACATGCGAGAGGACTGTCTCAAACATCTACAGGTCTACATGCCACACCTGCGTGACAGGCAGGCCTGGGACGCTTTTCCAATTGCTTGTGGCTCTCATGGTTCATTCGTCTGCGCAAAACCACGGACTGCAACAATGTCTCCCCAAGTGACTAATCGGGAAAACACTCCGATTGCCCGACCTGCTCCTGCATCTTCAGCCGGCTCCACAGCAGCACGCCGACAATCGTCACCATGAAGCCCACCTGCTCCCAACCCTTTAGACCTAGCCGCGGCCGACTCGTGCGGTGCAACCACTGTTCAACTACACGACATGGGAGATTCCGAAAATAGGGGTACCTTATTTTGGGGGTCCTTATAATAAGGGACCTACGATTTAGGGTACTATATTAGGGTCCCCTATTTTCGGAAACTCCCACATGAAGCTTGTGGAAGCTCCACACAACTAGAAGCCTCACAGGCCGACACCGCTGTCAACACAACCCCATGCCCTTCGAAGCCATGCATCTACTACGTTCACTACACGGCTGCTCGGTGCAAGGTTGCTATGCCTGCTGCGTCTGAGAAACCGGGTCCTCAGATCAAGCTCCGGCTCAAACGGTAAGGCACCAACATGATGCAACGCATCATCGTGTGATTTCTCGTGAAGCTTGCAACTGGAGATCGGCTTCTGGATTCACTTGCAAGGTCACACTGCAGCCATGGCTTTGTCAGCATATTGAGGAGCCCCCATACCAGCCAGAAGTTTGCAGTACAAGCCGGTCCGTAGGTAGTTTGAAAGCCAGCCGTGATACAATTTGTGTGTGTGTGTGTGTGTGTGTGTGTGCGTGTGTGTGTGTGTGTGTCCGTCGCTGTGAAGCTTCGCGAAATCCGTACCACTTTACGTGGATGCAATCGAGGTTCGCCGAAGATCAGGGCAGAAGAAGACACAATGACCATGTCCTCCAGGTAACAGCACATGCAGGAAACAGCACGCTAGGTAGATTGGTGCCAGGTTCCTTCCTGTTCTTGTTTATGTCTGGGACACGAGGAACACAGCAGAGCTTTTGGTGCGATCAAGGACGAACCGGCAATCCTTCACCACGCCGATGATGACAAAGGACAGAGCGGAAAGCTTCTTCAATGTCACGGCTATGAGAACCTCAGCGCACTTCACGCCGAATTTTTTTGGGTTTAGTTTTTGAGCTTTTTTCTGGAAATGCCGCAGGTGTAGTCAATGCAGAGGTCTTCAACAGAAAGGCGTGATTTCATGCGACTGCCAAAGCTTGTTTTGCTACCTGCTCGGGCACACGCAACGTCAAAAGCATCTGCCTAGCTCTGGTCACCGAGTCCGAGTGCCGGGCATTTAGCAGGAAAGCGATCAGGGCGTTTACCATCACCCAGTGCCAACTGGGCCAGTGGGCAAAGGCATGAGTTGGCAGTGGAATAATTCAGGCATGTGAGCGCACCCTTCAGTGGGTCTTCAGTGGGAACAGCTTCCCCACAAAAGAAAAGCGAGAAGCAAAACCCTGCAGGCAAGATACTGCCTTTTGAAATCCACCAGCACATCCGGCGTCCAGGTGGCCACCACCCCCACAGTCAGGAAAATCAGTGAAAAGGGCGCCTTGCGGAGTCTGGGAGGCTCATGGTGGAAGAAAGCTTTCCGATTCGGGATTGCGGCTTCGGTTATCAACCCGTCACAAGGAGGAACAAGGGGAAGGAGGTCTGTATGTTGTGATGGGCGGCAGGCCTCGGAACCCGAGAAAGCTACCACAAATGACTGGCAAGTTCCGGCCTGGAACAACACGAAAGTCAGCACGTCCAACTTGAGACCAGCGCCATGCATCACCTGTGCTTGTCGGAACAGAACTGTTTAGCAGCACTGGCGTCGCCCCTAGCCAAGCTCTTTCTGATTGGAATCGTCACGCCTAAGGGGATCGAGAACCCCTAATTGGTCTCTGCCACTTGCCCCGCTTGCCCCTCACGCCGCATTTCACGCAAATTTGAACGCTAACTGATTTCCGCCAGTGCCAGCAGTGGTAGTCGTCGTAGTAGTAGTAGTAGTAGTAGTAGTAGTAGTAGCAGTAGTAGCAGCAGTAGCAAGAGTAGTAGCCACATTATAGTAGCAGCAGCAGCTGCAGCAGTTGCAGTAGAAGTAGCAGCAGCAGCAGTAGCAGCAGTGTCAGTAGTAGCAGTAGTAGCAGCAGAAGTAGTCGTGGTGGTGGCGGTAGTAGTAATAGTGGTGGTAGTAGTAGTAGTAGTAGTCGTCGTCGTCGTCGTCGTAGTAGTAGTAGTAGTAGTAGTAGTGGTGCTGGTAGCAGTGGCAGTAGTGGCAGTGGTGGTGGTGGTGGTGGTGGTGGTGGTGGTGGGGGTGGTATTAGTGATAACAACAGTCTCCACTTCTGCAGAGAAAGTTATGGTAGTGGTCATGGCAACCGAAATAGGTCATAGTCATTGTAGCAGTAGCAGTGTCAGATGTTGTCAGTAAGAGCAATAGCAACAGCAACAGCGACAGCAGTGGCAAGGTCCTACCTCGAAGCAGTGGAAGCTCGAGTGATCCCCAAACTACAAAACATGCAAAACTGCAGCTGAAACGCCACATGTAAGCTGCCTACAGCTAGCAGCCGGGCGGCGGCTTCACCAATCAAGTTCTTGGAGCACTCAGTCAGCTGCGATGCAAGCTGGAGGATGAGTCCAACCATCCTTAAGTTGCGTTGCTTTTCCAAGTCGCCTGCGCTTTGCACAGACTGCCCGCGCCATGATTCACGACCTGGAAGCCAAGGCACACAAAATGGATTTCCCCGTGGGCACACCTTGAAAACAAGACTTGCAAGATAGGGTGGTAGGGCCAGGGCTTGAAAGCTGCACTCCTAGCGGGGGCAACATGGCTTCCTTTCTTTCTCTCTCCATTTCTTTCTCTTTCTGCAGTTCTATATGCGTCTCACCCCGGCAATGCCCGGCTTTACAGCGAGTCGGCTGCACTAATGAGTCATCAACGGCAGCATCGGGAAACAGGTGCGTACGCACAACTGCTTACGTCTGAGGTCCTGGCAAACAGAATACTGCCCACGTGCTTTACAACGGTACTCTCCCTCTCCCTCGCTCCATTTCCATGAACAGGCAGGAGGCGTTGTGCAGCCGGCAATGACAACGATGAGAACGGAAAGCTTATGCCAGCCTTGGTTGCAGCACGTCAAGCAGCAGCTCCGACCGTGGTCCACCACGACAGATGCTGCCAACAGGCTAAATGTCTGACTTCCAACTGCACACGACCTTGGTGGGCTGCCGTTGTGGAGGAAGCGGTCTGTGAGCTCTTGCTCTACACGTCGAAGCGTGTCAGGAGGCCGAGCCGAGCTGCATGAAGAACATGACCGCCACATTTCCCTGCTTGCAGAATTGAAGAAACGCGACGCTGGAGTACTTGTATGCCTGGTTCCTTAGCTGATCACCAGCACCACTGCATTCACATCCCAGGTCCCGCCAAAACGAACCCTGAGCATCTGACCGTAGCACGCTACAAGCCAACATCTATGACTGAAGCCTTGTACGTAGATTGAATTTTACAGCAACAAGCAAATGCCGATTACACCGATTGACTTGTTCCTGCCATGGACAAAACCGACTCCCACCACAGCAATTTAAACTCAACCTTCAGCTTACAGAGTAGGCCCGAGTTAAAACTTCCGGAAAACGCTGCACCCTGGGACGCAGTGCAGGAGTGCAGAGTGTACATTGATTCTTCTTACAAGCCCTCCATCGAGGCCTGATCCGGGCCACATTCAGGGTTTAGGGTTTAGTGACCCTTTTTTAAACTTATAAACCGAAACCCTAAACCCTAAACCGCACCAGTATAGCCAGGCATCGAGCAGTATAAGGCCAGGGCAAACAGCAAACCTAACGGAGCAATCCACTTGGCAATCAGCCACAGGTTGGCCTGGCAGCGTGAGGAGGAGAATCCCGTAGCATGACAATTGATCCTAGATACATCGGCCACTGCCAGACAGGAGGACTGCACATAGCTGGATTTTGCAGTATACATGATGACATACTGCCCCCAGAAAGCTACATCTTCAAAATCCACGCAGAGCCTTGGCCATGCCCATGGACGGGTAATACCTGGAGCCAGCGGTGTCTTACCGAATTTCACTCTGCCCTCCCTATCAGGCCGGTTACTTTCATCCAAGCCCCTGGCTGTGGTGCTACCTTGTAGAAGACCAATGACAGGCACAAGGTTACCACCTAGGACCGTCGGAAGGAGCACCCACAACAGGATGGAGGGAGCTGCGACTGCGTCATCCTATATAAGGCAGTGGCCATGTGGATTGCTGTAAGATGCACGGCATGGGAGAACCTCGAGCCAGCACTGGAATAGCTTGCCGTCACAGCAGTGCCATTGGGAGCGTCGGTCGATTCTGCACGTCCATACTAAACCCGACCATGTGCCAGCCTCCCTGGCTGCATCAGGAACTTGTTGAATGAGATCAGGGTAGAACTTGTCACGATATACACGGTTCCTCAGCTGCGAAGCTACACCTTGCTGTCAGCAGATTCATGCATGGCGCCAGGTGCATTTCGACGAGGTTGCGTTGCGTGATCGGCAGCCTTTCAGCAGGCCCGTCCTGCAAGCTGCTGTCAAGTCTCCAATCAGGATAGTCTGCCACACCTTGGCTGCCGTGGGTGCAAGACTTCCAGGAGAGTGAGCTGATTAGGCAAGCCGGATAATCCGGATCTGCCTTGCAAGGGAGCCGAGAGGCAGAAGCCACCTCATTCTGATTCTCGGGCTGTCCGGCCATGAAAGCGGCAAGAAGGTCCTCACTCCGGCAATGCGGGCCCCTACCGAAATAGGTGGAAGTCTCACTTGATGCCGCTCTCAAACATCCGGGTCCTGACAAGAATTTGGCACGTACCTGGGCTCTGAGGCATGCGCCCCGCGTCCGGACAAGGGGTAGGTGGGCGCGTACCAGGCAAGCCCAGTCCGCGGAAAGACAGCTTCTGCTCCCACTATTGTAGACAAGCCGCTTGCTTGCGGAGGGGTGTCCGATTCGGCTGTAAAGCTGTAAGAATGTGGCAGCGGAGACAGCACGACGTCAGATGTAAGACAATGCGCCCAGGAAAGATAACAGACATTAAAAATATTATTACCAGTGTCACATTACTACCATCGACATGCTCAGCTATGGTCTTACGAGCGCCGAAGCAAGACAATGCACCTTGGCTGACCTCCTGCATTCCGCCCTTGACATGCAGGCAACCCATGCAGCAGAGACTGCAATCAACGCTTCAATGCCCAGGTGTCCCTGCACGCCGCCCTTCTTTCCCATGGCCGCTAGGCCTGCTACGCGATGACTCGCACTGCAGGCCATCATTGCATTCGGACTTGCTCGATCATTCTCGTTCTTAATGCTTCTGCGCACACCGCGAGCCTGTAACTGTCCAGGCCCACCGCAAGAATCGCTGCGTTATGGGCTCTCCGGCCTTCGAGACCTTGCAAGAACTCTCACAAACGCACCTCAAGATGTCGACTCTCAGTATGGGGATTTCCAAACCAACGCAACCAAATAGTATCGTATCCAAACCCACATCCCCATATTCTGATCCTGTCGCATCACAAGCAATCGCCTTTTGTCGTCTGCACAATATGCTGCTCGGTTTGTGGTCTTTGGAACTGTACACATGTGGCACATGTGGCTCCTAAAGCCTGAAATCGGTTGCCTTAGCAAAACAAAATCTGCAACAAGTTGGCCATGTCCAGCGCAGCGGAAGCACTGGCACTGCTCGGTGTGTTGCCTGGCCCTGAAAGTGCATTCACAAACTTTTCGCCTTGCTTTCAAGATCCCGACAAACCATGACCTGTTTGGGTTCACGAAGTCGCCCTCATGCTCCTCCCTGTGGGGCGGGCTGTACTTCGGCCGTCTCCCCTTCGGTCTTGGCAGTATCCATGTCGAAATCTTCGTCCTCTTCGTGAGGCCGCTTCGCCTTTTCTGGTGCAGGAATGGGTCCTTTGCCGAGGGCTTTGCACATCGTGGCGAAGAGCTTCTTGGATTTCTGGTCTTCCTCCTTTTGACCTTCGTGCGCCCGCTTGAGCAAGCTGCGGCAATCGCGGTTCTGCGGGTCCAGCTCGACCAGTCTCTTGCAATCCTGTATGCAGTCCAAGAAGTTCTTCATGCCGAACTGGGCTTGCGCACGACGGAGGATTGCCTTCACATTCTGAGAATCTTCCTTGAGGACGGCATCACAGGCGCCCTTTGCCTCGAAGTGATCATCCAACTTCAAGTAGCAGGCTGCTTGGTTCAGCTTGCAGAGCTTCTTGAGCTCCTTCGCCTTGGCTTTGTTCTCCTCCTTGAAGTTGTCCACATAGTTGAAGAGGTCTGCCACCTTCTTGTATCGCTGCAGCGCCAGGGTAAAGCGGCCACTCTTGAAGAGACTGGTGCCAACTTCCTTGCGCTGAGCCGCAAAATCGAGCTTCTCGTCCTCGGACATGCTCCAGATCTCCTTGTTCTTCGCGAAATCCTTCAGACTGACCGTGAACCGAGGCGTGTCCGCGTCAAGAGAGCTGAGTCCCAGCTGGGCTTCTGCCGCCTGGGCCTTCGATGCCGTGATGATGGCTTTCTCCCCCTTCTTCATCGAAGAAACGGCACACTCCAGGGCGTCACAAACATCTCCGTTTCCCAGCACGAACTCCAAGGTCCTGGCCTGGAACCCGGACAAGCTCTGGCCGGAAGCGTCCGTGGCAGCTTCAACTTCAAGCGTCACCTGCGCGCCGTCCTGGGGCATCTCGTAGCCTTCACCCTCGACGATCTGCTTCTTCATCACAGAACTGTTGGATTGGAAGGAAACATCCTTGGTCTCGTAGATTTGCGACAGCTTGACGGTCACCGTGGCACCGTCTGGGCTGCGGTCACCGTATGCGTAGTCTTTGGAACATTTCAGCTGAACCTCCTCGCCGACCTTCATGCTTTGCAGGGCCTTGTCGCAGGCCTTCGCAATGGGGCCCAGGGCTGAGCTTTCGGAGCCCAGAACATACTCTAGGTCGGCGTGCTCCTCGAGGATGCCGTCGCCCGCCTCCGCTTTCACTGAGGCGAGGACCTCGCTGCCGAGTTTTGGGGTTCTCCAGCCGGAGCCCTCCGTGATTCGAGTCAGAATCACACCCTCGTCCCCAAAGAGGTCCGACTTCGACATCCAGCTAATCAGCTCCACCTCGAAGACCAGGGTCGCATTCTCCGGGATCTTGGGTGGCGAGCCGTTCTCGCCATATGCGAACTCTGGCGCGAGGGTGAACTTGGAAACCTCACCCTTCTTCATGGTGGCCACGCCCAAGTCCCAGCCCTTGATGACCTCGCCCCTACCCAGGGTGAACACGAACGGGGTGCCGCGAGTCCTCGAGGAGTCGAACTCGCTGCCATCGGACTGCAGGGTGCCAACGTAGTGCACGGTGACTTCGTCCCCTCTTTGGGGCATCTTCCAGCTTCCATCAGGCGCTGGGGTCAGCACCTCTTTCTGCACGCCCTCCGGCAGCTCTGTGGGCATGTCCCCCATGTCGTCGTCGGACATGCCATCCATTCCATCCATATCCATGCCAGTCTGGGGGAGTTCCTCGTCCGACATCGACATTGCTGGATGACGCTAGCAGAATCTGAGTTGCCTCGCCTAGGTCGAATTGCTTCAGCCATGTGCGCATGACCCCTGCTCAGGATG